GCGGGAAAACTTTTCGCTAAATTTAGCGGGAAAACTTTTCGCTAAATTTAGCGGGAAATTTTTTTCGCTAAATATAGCGGGAAATTCTTTCCGCTAAATTTAGTGGGGAAATATTTCTGCTAAAATGTTTTCTACTAAATTTAGCGGGAAAACTTTTTCCGCTAAATTTAGCGGGGACATTTTTTCCGCTTTATATAACGGGGAAATTTTTCCGCTAAATTTAGCGGGGAAATTTACCCATAATGCACAGCGCGGTTACGCCGACAACGACGGCGACGGCGACGCCGCTCAAGCCGGAAACGGGCGCCTAAGAGCTGCGCTCTAGGAAAAAATAAAGTGGCAATGACCACCAGCTTAATGCGATGACGTCACGTGAAAGCCATTTATTCGTAGAAACAGTTGTTTCATAATGAAATGCAGTATTCGCAATATATCTGCAAGAAGACGGCGCTAACCTTCCATGCAAGTTATGGAGTTTTTCAGTCAGTCTCAATGGATCTGTGGCTAAGAAAATGCTATTCCGCATGCCTGATGAGGCACAGAGCTGTAAAGTGAGGGGCAGATGCACGGGCACGTAAAATCGAATATACCATTGTCCTCCCGACGACAGCATTTCGCAAAGTGTCTAGGTCATGCTCATGCTCATGTGTGGTCAATATTAGGAACCAGGGATGGGCAAAATACATGCAAATATGTATCAAAATACGAATACAAAATACTTCGTCAACCGTATTTAATTACAAATCTAATTACATTTCCAAAAAAGCATTTAAGTACAAGATACAAATACAACCAAATGCATTTGGTCGCCTTCAAATACTTTTCCAAATACATTCCTCAAAATTTGTGTCAGCGACTTCAGGGCACCTGCAACAGGTTTCTGGGTATCTCATTTTAATTTTGCATCGCACACTCGGGAATTAGTGTGCGAGGCTCTACTAACGTAATAGAAATATAATCACAAAAAAAAAATGCAATCAGCTTGGACGTAATAGGTGAAAAAAGTACAGAGCTTCAAGCAGCTTTTTTTGTCGATTACATTTTGGTATAGACCAACAAAGAACTGAGCGACCAAAACGCGCAGCACCAGCTAGAGAATTTTTTATTGTTGCAACTCGCACCAGTTACAAAAATCTGGAGGACCCGCGCATTTATAATGTTCCAGGCAAGAATATGGATGAAAATCAGGCTGGAAAGCATCACAAGTTATCACAGGCACTTATTTAGCCAGGATGCCTGTGAACGTCGATTACGTCACTATTCTTGCCTTGGATAAGCACCGTAATCACAAAGTCACTAAACGCTTGTGCTTGATTGGGAGACACTGCAATCGGTGCAGAACGTAATTTTCTTCCTGCTCTGGACAGTGACAATCAATTTGAGGGATGTATTTTCGCCCACAAAATTGTATTTAATTACAATTGTATTTGAAATACCCAAGTTTTAGTATTTAAATAAACACGTCAAATACATCACCCAATTTGTAATTAAATACAAATGCAAGATACACAAAGCATTTGAAATACGTATTTTAAATACTTGTATTTGAAATACTGTCCATCCCTGTTAGGAACATTATGGCATCTCCATGTCCTGTTTTCAGTAAAGCCGAGGCCACAGTGCTTATTATCATACAAAATACAGACTGTATACAGATTCCGACGCGAGGCACCGCGAGATTCGTGCTTCGAATGCCGCATGGCAATGAGTTCAAGGAGAAAACATGGCACGCGGCATGCGGAGCACGGATATTGCGGTGACTCGTGTTCGCAGACGTTTTTTTTTTTTATGATGTTGAGCAGTGTGACCTTAAAGGGGTATTCACACGAGGGAGAAATCCCGGGGATTTCTCCCCAGCACGTGCATCCCACGACGAAAACGTCAGGCTTTGCGATGTGCAAAGGCCTCGCGTTTTCATCTCGTGATGCGCGCGTGTCGGGGAGAAATCCCCGGGATTTCTCCCTCGTGTGAATACCCCTAGGAGCGATGCAACAATTTTTGTACTTTGCGCAAATACCACTTAAAACGGATCCCTAACGTTAATGACCTATGAAACACGCGTTCGTTCTTCACCCCGCGCAATAGAAGTCCCAGAGAAAAATAAGAAAAACTAGCAGCGTTCACCCCTCAACTCGCAGCCAGAACAAGCGGCCACGCGATCTGGAGCCCATTATATGCCGCCAGTGTTGATCATAGCCACGCGCTGGGGTTGGCAAAGCGCAGGACACGCGCTGAGTTCCAAACATTGTTATGGCTCGGCTGTTGTCGTCGTTGCAGCGATTGGACACGGGTCACTACCCGAATGCTTCTCGAGCTGGCAATTATCACGAGCCGAAGTCGAGTGCCCACGCAATGCTCGGGTCCAATCTATGAACCGTATTCAAATATCGTCACTTGGGTGTACTCCGATCCCCACGTTACGTCATCAAATTTTGCAAAGGAGAGATTGAATGAAAATGATCGCATTTGTCCTTGAAATTACCCCGCAACAAAGGAGTTTCTTGGCCAGTGGCGTTGCGTGTGCGTATCCTTGAGTCCCAGGTCTGCCAGTAAGCTCGTGTAGAGTGAAAAACATTCCAATTGAATATCGTTGCACAGCTCCTTTAAATTAACTAGCACTATTGGATTTTTTCAAATAGATATTTCGTGTATTTGCCTTCATATTCATTTTGTGAGCACATGATTCGGCTTTACGTTTCCTGTGACATGGAGTTTCACATGGCCAAATTAGAAACGAAGAAACACGTTTCCGCAGACCTGCCTCAAAAGCGGCCATTCCGTCCTCCCCTGTCGGTCGGAAGCGGTGATGTGAACTTTGTACAGTTGAATTTTTTTATAACGGCTAACATTTATTGAATACCTGGCCGGAAACTTGACAACTAAATATGCAATATATATATATATATATATATATATATATATATATATATATATATATATATATATATATATATATATATATATATATATATATATATATATATATATATATATATATATATATATATATATATATATATATATTGCCGCGCGCGAAGTAGGCAGCGCGGCCGTAGCCTAACGCTTATCGCGCTTGCCTCCCGCGCGAATGGCCAGGGTTCGATTCCTGGCCGCGGCTACGCATTTTTGTTTACACTGTAATGTGATGTTCTGGTGAATTCGAGAACAGTCTAGCTGATTCGAAGTTAGAATGTTCTACGCTTCGAACCTTCTACATCGAATGCTCCAGAAGCCAACGCGTGTACAAAAGCGGCTCCGCCTGGCAAGCAGGAGTCAGTTTCGTCCCAGCGTTCGACTGTGCTGCTACGCCGACTGCGACGCCCGCGACGCTCTGTTATTATCTTTTGTACCCTTTTATTTTTGGCACAAGTTCGCCACATTAAACCTTTATTTCTTCCTGTTTATTTCTTGTTTATTGGTCACCACCCGTGACAATATATATATATATATATATATATATATATATATATATATATATATATATATATATATATATATATATATATATATATATATATATATATATATATATATATTGGCAAGTTTACCAGTGATTTGCAGTATCATATATAGAATAATTTATTTTGGAAGTTTATTTAAACCAAATGGGTTTTCCTGGCACATCAAGCAGATTTCAAACATAGAAGCCTGTTATTCCTTCTTTTATGTGATTCACAGAAATCTTACGTGTCTCTGGGCTCAGCGAAAACAAAATACAGAAGGACGCGTTATGGAACTATGGCGAGCTCTTGGTCTTATATCGAAGGAAATTACTACGCTGTTTCTATATCGGATTCAGCATCAAATAATTTTTTTTATATAAAAATACAGTAATTAGCAAGGGTGTTTTCTAATTGCGAAGTATTTTTACCACTATCTTGTCAAAAACAAAATACTGGTCAACTTACCTCAACAAGGCTCGGCCAATTTAGCCGTGTAGAAAGTATTCACCTGGTTACGAGGGTTCTCGACACCTTCGACATGAGTAGGAAAGGAAGACACGTCTGTATTAATTAGAATGATGAAGTATGATCACTCCTTTTTGCAAGATTGTCGACTACATCAAGGTGCTTAATGTAAACTATGTTCGTTAGGAAATAGGAGTTCTGATTGGGGATGAGTGTCTTTATCTAAAAAAAAAAAAAAAACATTTACTCAAAAAGATTTGTCTCAAAGCTGCGATGGCATTTAGAAAGTATAATTTTGCTTGCGTACATATCGTGAAGTATATTCCGTGAAATAGAATTTGCAATATATACGCCGAGGAAGTGCGCATTTTATAATATTACGAACCATAATATATAATCTATGTTAAATACTCAACCACAACTTATCTTTCAAGACAGTGGCACTAAGCTGCAACAATTACTTATATTTCAGTTGGCTTACGTCGCTTTGTAACATTTCTTGGATTGAGATAAAACATGGGAGCTGGGTAAACAATTACAAATTTTAACCTAGTTTTTAGACAAGAGTCTGAGTAGAAAAACGTGATTTTTCCCTTTTTTTTAAATTGAAAATAAAGATGCAGTGTACATACAATAAAAAGAAAAAAAATCCGAGCTTTGTTTTTATTGCGGAGGTAGTGAATATTGCGAAACTTTGCTGGAAATGTGTTCAATTTTAGCGTTTGAACCGTTATTTTTTGCATTTCGGAGCTGAACCGGAACTGAACCGAAGGCCGAACCTGAACCGAACCGATAAACATTTCGGTTCGACACTCTGCTCCGAGGCTCGCCGAAGACTCCTGTCCAAGTTTTGACTTCTTGCTACCAGCCTCGAACACCACACTGTTGAACTTCACGAGCATCAATTTGTAATCGAAACTTATTATATTTCTGAGTAACGGCAGTAACGGCTGAAAGTGCAACTCAACGCGCCCGCTCACGGAGACCTCTCCTGCTGTTTCGCTTCTCCTCCGCGCACGCCTCGCGCACGCTCCGCCAGGTCGCAGAGTCCGACGGCCTCCCCGTCCCCCCCCCTACTCCGCGTAGTGGACAAGCCCGGAACAACTTCCGCCCGTGACGTTTTCCGGCGACGGCCTCCAGCATCGCGTTCGTTCCGTGCGGCTCCCGCTGTTCTCTCGCGTACACCGACGACCTCGCTCGCTACCGCCGCCGCGCCGGCGACGCCTCGCTGTCCAGCAGTAGTCGGCGCGGAAAGTTTGTCGGCAGTCCCGCCTGCACCCAACTTTGTCCTCGGACGTGTGAAGTGAATCCGACAAAGTGGTGTGTGCTCGGTGATCGGCCTCACGTGCCATGCTTGGCACGCAACGCCGTTGTGTGCATTCCGCGGTCGTACTTGTTCGACGCTGACGTATCCCTCCTTTGGATTTCTTTGGAGTGCGAGACATTGTGTGGCGTCCCCCCGCGAGCCGTTCGGGCTCCCGTACAACCCCAACAAAATCAGCCGGAAGGAGGAACAACACGAAACAATAAAAGGTGAGGCAGCACGCTCGCGTGAACGGCTTCCCGAGCTGTTGTTGGCCGGTCCGAAGGTCGGAGTTTTTGTTGTCGCCCGGCGACTGGCGGTAGGTGTCGGTGCACTGTGCTGCCTTGGGTACGCTGGCCGGCTTGTCCTGCCTGTTCTATCGACGAGAACGAGTTCCCGTGTGTGTACACCGATCTAGGACGTATCGTTCGAAAACTCTGATGCGTAAACTGGTTTCTGAGTTGGCGCTCTAGGTAGTTCGTCTCGCGCGAGTCGGAGAACTTTGTTGTTTTTCAGACCCACGTGGCAACCTTAATCTTTATGGCAGGGTTGATACGAAGAGGACGAATTCGGCACGTCGAACACCAGGGCGAGCTTTCTAGAAGTAACGAATTAACGAAGACAGTGTGAAATAAAGGCTGCTAAGTCTGGGGCGCGCGAGTGTTTGAGACGAGTCCGGCTTTACATGCAACTCCGCTTGCGCGCTACATTTCGCTGTGCTTTCTTTTACAGTCTAGCTTGCAAGTGTTTTCATTGCTGGGTACTGACTAACGATTATTTCTACTTTGAGTTCTTTTTTTTTTTTTTTCTAACTATATACAACTTCTGCGGCGTGAAACTAACATTGAGAACCGAGCGCTCACGGCGCATAAAATACTGACGTGGCTGCGAAAGACGTCACCTGCAATCTATGTGTTGCTGAATCCTTTCTTCGAGTGTTTACGTCCTGCGCTTGTAGCCCGTACATCGTAGCAGAATCTCGCGCTGCGTGTAGCGGCAGCCAGTTGCTGTAGCCTGCCGTGCCGTCTGAAAACAGCGTGACGCTGTTCAACACTTCTGAACAATGAATCGTTTGCTTTTCCCGTCAAGACGACGCTCCGCAAGCCGGGTCCTTGGAGCCGCTGCTGGCCGCCTGTTATGTTCGTCAGCTGTTAAAAGGTCGTCTCCGTACTCCGTACGCGGCGCTTGTCTTCGTGCGCGTGGCAGCAGGCCAACTTCTCCCCCCTCGTACGCTTTCGGTCCCCGCGAATTCCTGACGCCTGTTTTTGCGCTCCCTGCAAGGTTGTCTGTTCGTCTCTTGTTTTTCTCTTCCTCTTGAACTCGGAGATAAGATGGCCAGCTGGGTCTCTGTTACAATTCCTGGCGGGGGGTTCGCGGTTCGTCAAACGGCAACTTGCTCGTCGTCACCACATCCAACGACCCGGAAAACGTCATAAAAAGGACCATTTCCGGAAGCGGTTTAGAGCCGCTGCAAGAATGCGCTCTCTCCGCGATGACGCTTTTCTCGCGCGGACAATGGTTTCGTTTTCGTTCCGCGCTACAGGATTCAGTTTCTCGGCGATTACACCCTCTGGACGCGTCCGGCGGTCTCAAGTTGCGGGTTGTGTGTGTTTCGCCGGGTGCCGTCCTAATCTAAATTGCGCTCGGCCGCGCTCCTTCTTTGGGTCGGGGTTTCGCGGACACACGTAGTCGGATATCGTCGGATGCCTGTTATCTCTCGAACTAAATGACCGTGTGATTGGCAAGCATACAGTCTGTTATCAGCCATTCGCTTTGCGACGGTACTGAGCACGTACAACCCTTTAGCGTCATCTGCACAGTTTTACGAAGCCATTAGACGCATTACACTCAAAGAAAATGCGGAACGTCTGCTTTCCTGCAACGCACATGGGATTAATCACTGAGCCAATCGCTGAATTAATCGATATATGCAGAAAACTAGGCGAATGACGATGTTTATAATATTATTAGACATTAATACACGATCTACGCCGCGATATTGAGTATGATGGAACGTCGTGCTCATGTCACAGGGCCGATTCTTATTTTTTTCTTTTTTTGTAAATCTTTCGGCCTCGGATTTTGCCGAGCTTCTACCGTTGGTTGCAGCGACTTCCTGTCCCAAGTGCTTTGCGGGAGAGTGAACGCTTCAGGTTTTCTTTTAGTGCAGTGAATAGAGCCACTCACGAGTAGATTGCGTGCGTGATCATATAATAGTTGATCGGTAACTTATTTTGTTGCGGAAATGTTGCTTTATTATTTAAGTGGGAAACAAATGGCGCTGATTTGTCACAGAGGGGTAACCACTCATGTTAGAATTTTTTTTTCTTTTGCATTAGTTCATTGTTTCCTCAGTATAGTTCATTTATTGCCCGCCAGATTTATGAACCGACGTTTCGTACGTGTTTCAATATGAGACGAAGGATTTGTATGCCGTGCGTGCGTCTCGAGGCTTGAACGAGCGCATCACACGTTCAAGGACCGGAGATGTCGAAGCTCCTGGCCTTAACCGGTCGCTCTACTAATCTCATCAGCTGAGGCAGCGCGCGAGGACACAACCTGACGGCAGACGTTAAGCTCATCCGCTGACCGAGCGCGTTTTTCAGATAGATAACCGAATCAGTGCGCTCGCGAAGAGTGTGGCGGTTGACAGTGATATACTGTGCCGTGCAATGAGAGCACCGACAAGCCGCTCTTTCCCCTTCGGAAGGTCATTATTATTCTGGGTGACAGCGGCTGCAGTCTGTATACGAAGCGCAGAATGTCTTCCGGAATTCCTGTCCTGTTTCCCATTCTGATAGTTGGCATTGCGCGCCTTAGTACGGTGACAGTTGGTTTAAAGATTGAGCGCCGATCCAGTACAATAAGATGCACTTCACAGTACAGATCCGGTACAATGAGATGCACCCGTGTCGAAAAAAGAAAAAGTAATAAACGAAAGGTGAGTGACAGCATTTCGTCTTTATCCGTTGTCTTCATTCTGTTACCGATTGCTCCCCGTGCTCTCCAGGAATAAACCACTCTATCAGACTTGCCGTTAAACAAACGCGAACTCGATATTTCAACTCCGTTCGCATTATTTGTTGTTCGTAATCCCTCGGCTACAACCTCAAAAAAAAAAATAAAAAAAAAATAAAATAAAGCTTAGTCGGAGCGTATCCACCAATCTAAACTCGGAAATTGATAATCTCTTCAGCAACGTTCACAGATGAGTAAAGAGCGCCACCAGCTCGTATTTGCCAGGCCGGAGGGCCCGGCGTGGTGACTCGTTCACCATTTATCAGAGGTCAAGGTGGTTCCCTCCGAGAGTTTAATCGAGCACCAAAGTAAAAAAAAAAAAAAAAAAAAAAAATAGGATAAAAAAATATTTTATATTAGGCAAATTAGATTTCTTAATTTCAATCACTGTAGCTAAATATTAGTGACCCTTTTTCAGAGCATGTATTTTAAACATGGTGGATTGATAGATCAATCCGTCGGATCACTGCGGACGCAAGAATTACTGTACATTTAAAGTAGAGTTTGATTAACAACTAATTATTGATGTAAACCCAGTCTTACATGTACAAAAGAGGTGCAGTTTTCCAGTTAGCTAAAAATCCCTATTTGATTTTTTTTTTTTTTTTCGTTCACGATCTGATTTGCAAGCGGTAAGGCATAATCCTTCTAGTTTTTTTGTTTTCTTTTACGTTCTGATTTGCTTTCAATATATAGCTCGCAAGTTTCCCCATTGCTGGGTAATGGCGGTTTTTCCTACTTTCTGGTTTCTTCTAACTACGACAACTGCGGTGTGGAACTGAAACAGCGAGCCGAACGCACGCGGCGCAGAAAAGAGTGGTACGGTCGCGAATGGCGTCACATGCGAGCTATGTATAGGTTGTTATCTAACTGACAAAGGACGTGGAAGGTAGAAAGATAGCAAAATGCAAAGTTGGGCTAGTTGGTACACTGAAAGAAGAATACGCGCCTCAAAAGCAGGAACTGAGCACCTCAGAGATAGCGATATGTATGTATAATGTGTGTCTTTCAATAAACATTGAAGTTGTGAGTAGCGCTCGGTGTCGTCTTGTTCTTTGTCCCTGTCTTCGAGGTGCGCGTATTCTTCTTTTGGTTGAAAAAAAGCTCGATGATGCGATTCAAACGGAAAAGCAGCTTTTTTTTTTTTTTTTTGCTCATGTTGAGCCTGATAAAGATATTTCTTGCTGAATGATTATTTGATTTAAATACGAATCGAATGAACATAAAAAGCATCAAATGATAGACGAACAGTAAATAAAAACTGATTTCTGAAATATTGTATGTGAAAGATTCGATTTGAATCAGCACAATAAATCTGGTCCGATTTATATCTCGATTTAAATCATCTCGATCTTTATTCTCCACCCTGTCAAACACGCTCCTGTAAAGAAAATAGAGGCAGGTGATGTCCGTGTCTTCCGGCCACCCTTCGGCAACTCTGCGATGAAATGTACAGAGTATCCTTGCCGTTTAATGTGCCATGTCGGCGCTGGAGGTCGGTATATCTCGCGTGTCCCTCTCACCTCTTCGCGTACACTCGTCTTTGTCGTGTGAGGCCCTCGTGATGTCTTTACGTCGGTTTCCGTATTTGCGCGCGGGCTAGAAAATGCCCTTCCAGAGTCCATCCGAGGCTTTGGACCGAGCCTGGCGCGCAGCGTCGCAAACTTCGTTTGCCAGAAGAGAGTCTCCCGCCGGCGAGACGCGTGTGCTCTGAATATTGAATAGTGCGGGAACGGTGGGACACTTTTCTTTCCGTGCTCGTTGTAGCCGTCCGTAGACAAGAGCTGTGGAAACGAAGGACCCAGGAGATCGGATCTTGGCAGCACTGCTTACACACCCCTCCCCTTACCACTTTCCTCAGCTGCCAGGGTAGGACTCCAAGATCTCAGCTACTTTTCTCAGAGGACATCTTCAACCTGCAAGTTTTCAGCAGCTGTACCGTACATACGATCTCGCAGACGTCGCAATGATAATACATCCTACAACAGACACTACCTGGGGTCTTCCTATAGTGTTACGGTTACATTGATCGTACAAGAACCATCTGCAAACGTATTCGAAGCACGCATATGTACGAAGCAGATGTGTGCGAACACGCGTTTAAGGCGTGTACAAAGCGAATTCTGTCATTACGTTTTCTGCGCACACCGTGTGTTTCGTACGAGCAATGTGACATTACTTGCATTTACTGTGGTGTATTGGTAATCGTCCG